ATAAAATTTTTTAAAGTTATACATATGAAATGATGGTGAAATTACACAACACTATTATAAGATTAAAAATAAAAGGCTTTATTACAGATATATGTGCTTATAGATGGGATGATTTAGTATTATAAAAATATCAATTCTGCCAAAATTCGCCTATAAATTAAGTGCAAGTTCAATAAAATTCCCAAAGGAGTTATTCATAAAACCTGACAAACAAATAAAAATGCAGAGTTAAGAAAGGCAAATGCAGCAAGAACAATGAGGGCCTAATTATGAAGGCGACATAGTGTAAGGCAGAGATGAATAAAATGGCTGAGACAGAAAACAGAGCTTCATGACAGACCCATACTTAGAGAAGGAAGAATGTGGAAATGCAGATTAGCTTAGAAAGAACATACTTTTCAATCAAGTATGACCGGACCAATGGTGAGGATTCTAAAAATAACAATTTAGATTTCTTATCATATGCCACATACCTCCATCCATTTTAACAAGAATAAGGACAAATGTGAAAGGCAACATTTTAAGGCATTTAAGGAAAAAGTATATTAACTTATACTTAATTCTTTTAACTCAACCAAAATTCACATAGTATAAAAAGTATCATATAGTATCATGAATCTTATATATTAGACAACTTCTTCTCAAAGAAAGTGTTATAAAGCTGAAAGGCAAGTCTTCCAGGAGACAGAACAATAATAATAATAATAATAATAACAACAACAGTAACAACACATAATCCACAAAGACCACTCGATAGAATCTACCAAGAACTCCTACTCAGTAAGAAAAAGAAATATCCCAATTAAAAAATGAGGCAGAAATTGACAGGAGAAATCTAAGTGATAAACTACAAGGAGAGCTGCCCAGTCTTACTGCATTGTTATTCTGCATATAGTTATACCCTCAATGGAATATTATATCACAGTTAAAATAAGTGACTTAGAGCTACATATCTCAAAAACAATGTTGAGTGAAAAGTTTATAAAAGGCTGACACAATTTATGCCATGCTTAAAATAAGAGAAACCATGCTACCTATTTTAAATACATCCATATATATGATAATGGCAACAAAGATCTTGGATAGTAGTTATAGTTTTTGTGGTAGAGTAAGCCAGATTATATTGTCATATTATGCATTTCTCTTCCTAATTCCAGCTTCAAATCTGTTGTTGAGGGCATGTTTACGCCACTGAAATTGGCAAAGATAAATTTCAGATTCCCCCTTCATTTTTCTCACTTTTGGACAACTGGTTTACCTGCGTATCATTATGTTTCTCTACAGGATGGAATCCAATTTGAGAGGGATAGCAAAGTTACTTCAAGTTACATGTAATCTCTTTATGCTTCAAAGCATTTCTAAAGCAAATAAGGCACAAGGAAAGGCTCTGACAGTGGGGTTGGCTTATGGGCATTTATCATATTACTTTATGCTTTTCTGTATTTTGGAACTATTTCTTGAAAAAAAGAATCTAGTCAGCTGAAATTTTTAGCCCAGCACAAACCATTTTCTTTCTGCCCTCTTTAATTTTAGAGATTTAAATCTTGCTTAGTTGGTCAAAGTACTATGATGCTGAAAAACCTGGACCTTAACTAATAATAGAAACTTTAAAGATTTTTATTTCAAATACCAACCACAGTACTGCCAGATAGTTGTATCTTTGAAATCAACTATTACAGGGCATAGCATGGAAGATTCATAATAAGCATTAACCTAAAAAGTCACACCAATACCATTTAACCCAATATATTGTAATAGCAAAGATGTTTGAGCTCTAAGTTTAGACTCTCATTTTAAAGAAAGGAAATAATAACGCATAGGGACAAAACAGTACAGACACTTCGACTGTAAAAATCAAACAAGAAAATAATTATGATGGTAATAATATTAAAGAAATTAGAAAATACCAATACCAAGAGAGATCTGATAGAGCATGAACTCAAATTAGGCAAAATTAATTTCTACATCTTTGCCCTGGAGCAAAGGCCTTTCGTCATTGTCCAATGGATGTCTTGTCAGTAAGAAGTATGTACAATGTGCATCCTGTGTACCCAGAGAGCTGGTAAGAGAAGGCAGTGAGATGATGCTTGTGCATATAAATGTGATTACTAAAGGGACAGGTACAAACACGGTCATGTGCAGTGTCACTGCCATGTCTCACGTGTCATCTTCAGGATGCTCATTTACTGCAACTCAAGTTTGTTTTAGACATGTCTGACTTCCTTCAACAAAAAGACCAAGGAGCTTATTCAAGAACTAAAGTTCTTCTCAGTTTACCCACCTTTTCAGACTGTACACCTGAGCCCCCTTCTTATTGACCCACTAGGTTTCCATGCTTATCTTTCTCTAAATTAGGAGGCACATGAAATGGTGAACTCCAGGGAGCAAATCTCCATTGTGGATTATCCACAGTATCACAGTATCACAGAAGGGAGTGTGGCTGATGGCTGGGGCTGGAGTCAGAGAAGCCAGGATGAGGCATATAAAGTGACAGAACACATGAAACTCTATGGCTTCTGGCAAGAAGCAAACACTAGATAAACAGTCATTACTGTCAACTTACAGCCAAACCACCAGAATGCTTAGGTCAGGGGCCTCCCATCATTTGGTTACCCCTCTTCAAGTTACAGTGCCATTAGTGGGAATCACTGGAAGGAGGAGCAATGAAAAGGTCAGAGGATGTTACCATCAGCAGCTATCACACGGGGGTCTGCTTCAACACATTGATAATGAGGAGGTAGACTCTACTAGTGACCATACGGATTCTCCAATCCTGACTCCATTTTCTTTGCCCTCTCTCTATTATCTTACTGTGTTTGTTTCATATAGAGAATATTTCTTAACCATGACCACACATTACAAACATCCCAGGACCTTTTAAAAAATTCTGATGTCCTGCCCCACCACAGGCCAACTGACTAGAATTTGTGAGGGTATTTTTTAAAAAAGAGCTTTCCAGCTGATTTCAGTATGGCTGAAAAATATTGAGAGAAGAATGCTACATTCTGCTGGAAATATCTCCATGCTGATAATAGTACAGTCTCTTCAGAGGCCAGTGGAAGACACATTGGTTGCTACTTGCAGGCAGGAAGCAAAAAAAAAAAAAAATTAAAAAAAAAAAGCCAACCTGGAAATGGTCAGCAAGATCAGCCCTGTCATGCTCATGCTGCTGGAAGAAACAGCATGAGACAAGAGCCTGAGAGAGCTATGAGAACACCCATAGGGGCTTCGAGAGAATAAGAATCCAAGTGCCCTTTGGTTCTCACTTCTTCCCATATACAAACAGCTCCTACTGACTTTGTGAAAACAAGGGATGGCTTTGGAGTTATGAATCATGCTTCTCCTTTATCAATTAAGAATGTTAGAAACCCACCTCCTTTAGATAACTGAAAATGTTAGAACTTAACTGGGAAGCAAGGCTTTTCTTTGTTAAAGAACAATTATGTATTCTTTCTGCGCATGTGACTTACCTATAAAATGAAGACCAAACCTGAGTGTGGACCAGTCATCAGAGAAACCTGATGAATCTTTTGGGTCAAGGTCTTTAGTTTGGCTCTGAATACCCTCTTTAACAAACATCTCTATTATTAGTCATAAATTCACTTCACTGCAATGGTTTATTTCAATTAACACCCTGATTGAAAACCACCATCTTGGAACACCCCAACTGGTGTTCAGTCTACAGAGTTCAATGGCAGAGATCTTGCAGTGCTGGCATTTCTTCTATGCTATGCTTTCAAAATTAAGGCATGCCAGCAAACATGCTTCCCAGTGGCCAGACTCATGCTAAATGTTAGGGATTCAAGGTGGCAAGTGAGATGTGGTTCCAGTCCTCATGGAGCTCACATAGAAAATTTTTAGTAAGCAAAGAGGGGTAGGATTTATAATTTGCATTATAGTTGAGAACCCCAATAATAGTGCATTGTAGGATTTTATGTGGGAATTGCACCATAACAAAATGACTGATCATTGGATAATATTTTGGTGCTTATGCCCTGCTGGCATTCAGCTAGGAACTTCGTGTATCAGCTCACTGAAATTCACAATAACTTTTAGGTAGATGTCCCTGTTGTTTCCATTCATTCAGTCCACAGAAAAGTCTGAATGCATCTTAGGGTAGTAACAAAATAGATAGATCCTCTCTATGAGGTATGTGAATGGGGGTGAGGAGGAAGGAAATAACCAACAACACCCAGAAGTCAATCATACAGTACGTTAGAAATTGCAAAATGCCAGGAGAAATGGAAAGAGCAGAGCAGGTAAGGTGGGAGTGCAAATTTCAGTCAAGTTTCACTGAGCAAGGCGGATCTGAGTGCAGACTTAAAGACTAACCCTAGAATATATATATGGCTCAACTGTGATACGAGCTCAGAAACCTGCGCCCTTAACACAGATATTAGGAAAAGAGAGCGTTCTCTTTCCCCTGCCCTTTCCCTTCTCTTTCCAGAAGCATCATATTATAAAGACTGATTCACTCAACTCCAATCCTGCTCTGTTTGCTTTGTTCATTAGAGTAATTTTTGAGGCCAGTGTCTGCTACTTAGTAGGCACATGTTTGAATTAAATCAATACTTTCAATTTCGAATTAATTTGAATAATATCTATAGTATTCAAAATATTTTTTGATTTGTACTGTGCCTAGCTCATTCTCTAGACAGAAAAACATTTGAAGAAAAATCAGTTGAGGTGAGAATACAGTATGACATTATGTACTTCTAGGAGCTGTTCATGTTGGTTTGTGGAAAGAAGATACCATTGTTCTATCTAGGGAAGAGCTCTCGTCTCTGAGTCTGGAAGGCAGAGAGTGATGGAAAATAGAAAAAACATGAGACTTAGGTGCAAGCAAATATGCTTCTGGGTAGAAGATTCCATGGCACGGAAGCCCACAAAAATCTATAAGTCGAATCAAGGATTTTAGGGAACATTTTCTTAGGCTACATTCATTCCAGGGAAATTAGTAATTTTCTCACATGAAAACAATCTTGTGAGTGTTCACTTACCTATTGAAGTGGTAGATATCCTGTATGTTTCCAAAAAGGGCTAATCTTTCTTCTGTCCCCAGAGGAAGTTTTGCTTGGTCCCGTATGCAGTCAAGGTAATCCTGCGAAATCATGGAGAAGAGGCTTTAAGTATCCCTGTGATTCTCTGAGACATCTTCAATGACCCAAAATGTGTCTTTCATATCAATTTCAAGGTATTATTATATTAATGTGCTCCTTAGCTCTATGAGAATATAGGCTTTCATTTGTTTTGATAGTACCTTTTATAGAAGGGAGAGTTTGAGCTAGGAAGAAGAGGATGGTGTACACTGAGTCATTCAATGTTTTAGAGCTTCCTTAGATGGATCATAGAATAACCACAGTTGTGGAAAACGTCAGAGTTTTGCATAGCAAGTCCAACTGACGTGTCCTTGACTAACTCATGTCAGAGCGGGACACCAGAAATCTCTTATAAACTGTCAAGAGAAAAGGAACCATAACTCTGGGAAGGGATTAACATTAATTTACTGTGGCAATCACTGGGCTGTATGTGTACGTATCAAATCATTATGCTTTCTACCTATAGCTCAATGCAGGTGGGCAAAAGTAACAGAGTTGTTTTCAACATATAGCTGTTCATTGTTAAAGTGTAGAACTGAAGTCTCCCTTAAGTACCAACTTAGGAAAAAACTTTAAAAAAGTAGGCACACAATTCATCACGCTACCCAAAGGCTTTGTTTGCAAGTGGGGAGAAGTCTGCTAATTTTCAGTGGCGAACCCAGAGCTGTGGAGGGCTTAGACCCACAGTGGGTTAAATGTACGTGACTTAGAAGCTATTTGAGCTGCTGAGAAAGGGGAAAGTGTTTTCCGCCAGTGTGCTGAAGAGTTCATAACTCCCCTCTCCCCCAGCAAAGCTTGAAGAAAGAACTCTGTAGGAGGCAAGCAAACAATAAAGAAAAAAGTGAAAACAGCTGAAATAATGTAAAATAAAAAAATAAATACAATCCCCTGTGCTGGGCAGAACAATGTACCCAGGCCAGGACCAAAAAGCCTGCTGCAGCCTTTACAGGAAGTAGCCTGTGTAGCGGCAGGCAGAGTGCGGAAATCCCAGCCTGGACCGTGGTCCAAGGTCCGAGGGAGAACACGTGAGATTTTAGATACCACTGACAAATGGCGAATGGAAATTCAAGAATCATCAGGCGATTGTTATCTTTAACAATATACATTTGCTCTCCTGTTCCTCAGGTAAGACAGGCACGTTTTCATGGTTAACTTTCTGGTCAGCATCAAACAGCTTACCATTTTAGTTCTTTTTTTTTTTTTTAAGATTTATTTCTTTATGCATAGGGAACTGGGGTGCAGGCCAGAGCTGCAGGGGCAGTGAGAGGATTCACCAGAGACAGAGCAGGGAGCAGAAGAGGTAGATCGAGAAGGGCACTGCTGAGGGGAGCAGCAGGGAGACAGGCGAGGTCTGCCGCACCATGTGGGTCACCTTCAGGCTGGAATGGAACTTGCACTGAAGCATCTGCAGCCAGCTTGCAGTGCTGCACTGTAAAGTCCTGTGCCCCCAGGGAGAGCCTATTCTAACCCTCCAATAATAAACTCGTTGTTATGCAGAACCTGAAGCTCATAAACTTTTTTTTTTTAAACAAGCTTTGTGGTCATCTCAGTAAGAAATCAGCTTCACCAGGCCTGAAACCCCTGTGAATGGAACTATTATAGAAGCTCGAGTGTCTGCATAGGATCCAGAGTGCACATGCAAGAAATGCTAAAAGCTGGAATGGATGTCATTGTACTTTTTGAACAACCCTGAAACCAAACCTAGACTTCCTCAAAAAAATAAATTGAGTCCTTGATGTTTTCATGAAATTCCACTTGATACAAAAGGATGTAGTGATATATATATATTTTAAATATATATTTATTTATGCATACAGAACTGGGGAGCAAGCAGAGGTGCAGGGGTGGTGAGAGGCTTCACCAGAGACAGATCAGGGAGCAGAACAGGCAGTTCAACAAAACACTGCTGAGGGGAGCAGCAGGCGGGGATCAAACTCATGCTGAAGTGGCTTTAGCTTCTTAGTGCTGTGCTTTACCCACTGCAACACTAGGGAGGGCCATGGATGTGGTGATATTTAAAGGGCAGTAAAGGCTTACAGGCATTCATACTCTGGCTTAGAAGGGCACAATGTCTTCAAAGTTAAAGAAGGATGCAAGGCCAGAAAGATCTGGATAGTATGAAGTTAAAAAGTAAAACAGAAGGATATCAACAGGCCTAATTCACACCAAGAAAGGGGAGGAGAGGGGGAGATGAAGGGTGTGGCATATTTAACAAGAAAACAAACAGTCTTTTTTCTCACTTCAAGTGCAAAGCTTGCTCATTTGCAGAAACCCGATACTAGATTCTTCGTGAGGGAAAGATTGAGTTAAGGGGCTTGAAGAATTTCAACTGGGGTGAGAGACAAAGAACCCTGGCCTCCTTCCAACAAATAGTGGCCCATCTCCAGCTGAAAGCAGTTCAAAACCTCAGAGCCCATGGTAGAGAAACTAGATTTTAAAAGCTGCTTGTTTTCTGAAATTGTTGAGAAAATAGATCGTTAGAGTCTAACTTGTTATAGGCCGCTCTCGACAACAGATCAAAGTAGTATGGCCACAACTGGTTCACCCCACTGATCATAATTACGTCTTTTAAATACGATACTTTGACCCTCAACCAGCTACTGAAGACTAGTGCAGCATGTCCTACATTGGCAGCTGTGGTCATCTAAGCCAAAATGAGAGGTTTGCAGCTCAGTGGCAGTAACAGTTCATTCTGTGCTCAAATGACAGAGTAAAGCACCAATGAAATTTATTAGAGCCAGTCATGCTGCTTATTAATTTTATTGGCCTGACGTCAACATCCCCGGTTTTCCTACTGTTAACAAGAAGGGTCAATTTTAAGCCTTTGCATTGAAAACAATTATTCTCTAAGAGGATCAAAGAATTCACTTTATTTTGGGGAGAAAAGGCTGGAGAGATTCACAGAAAAAAGAGCTTTTCACCATCTGAATTTCATCAAACGTATTTATTTTCTAATCCACGTATGGCCTTCGGTCTCTGTTGTTAGAAGATCTGTATGAGTGCCCTCCCCCACTAGTGTTTTCATTCCTTGTCATACCTGATATTGAAAATATCCAAAGCCTATCTCAGTGCTCTAGAAATGAACAGGAGCCAGCTGGCTAATCGTTTCCTGTTCTGCAGCTAGTAAGTGTGAAAACTGAGAGTTCATGTGTTGAAACTTTAACAGAATATCTGTTAAATCTAATGGTAAATTTGGAGTTTCAGTTGCATGTCTGATTTCTTCTGTTTTTCTAGTAACTTCATTTTGACTATATTTTACAAAATTATCAGTGTGTGACTCATTGCACGCTCTCTCTCACTGGCTTGTTCCTCGCCTTAGAAAGTTAGAGCGGCCCTAGTCTAGAGAACCGTCCAGCAGAGAGATGCTGTAGATATAGAATTGAAATTCAGATTCAAATTCAATGACCTTGGTAGTTCCCTTATTTCTCCAAGATGCCCTGAAAGGATGAAGACCTTTGCTCTCATCTCCCTTCTTCCTCTAAAATAACATGTAAGGTGTTTTAATAGTATAATGGACTTAATAAGATAATAAAGATAAACATAAAAGCATTTATTTATATCGATACTTGGTATTCTCTTCTTCACTTTTCTCTTTCCCAAGACAGTCCCATGGGAGAAACAACACAGAAGTTTCTGCTTCTCACATTTCAACATTCTGCCTAGTGGTTTTATGGTTTATTCTTTTTGGTTGAATGTTTGTTGTTAGCACTTCCAAAATTCCAAGCTCTTTGCTATAACACCGAGGCAAGATCCTTTTATCTTTATTTTGGAGGAAGCATCCTTTCTTGTTTCTCCAACTCCACCTTTTCTAAAGGGTGGTCATCTGTTTCATGCAAAAACCTACCCTCCAGATGCCATGGATTACACGGTTATGCCATCGACACTACAATAACTTACATTTCTACATCAATTTATAGTTTGAAAGCACATTCCAATTCATTCATACAAAGCCCCTTTCCTCCCTTTGATTGAGAACATAAGACCACATGCCAAGTTCTGTTTTACAAGCTAGGAATTAAAAAAATGAATAAAACATGACCCCATTCCCTAAGGAGCTCCCTGTGTAGTTGAAAGACCAGTGTAAACAAATAAGTACAATACAGAGTTAAGGTCCTATGACTGATAAATATTCAGCAGAGGAGACAGGAGACTGAGGAGGGTGGGGCGATCCCAGAGCACAGGGAGGCTTTCCAGAGAAGGCTGTGGTAGAGCTGAGGCTCTGAGGTTGACCAGCAGTCTGAACAGAGGCACAGAGTCAGACATTCACGTGCGGACCGAACACGGGGGGAGCTGGGACAGGAGCAGATGCTCATGGCACAGAGCCCAGTGGGCGGGGGGTGGGGGGCTGCCCACTGAGAGGGGCCTGGGCAGAATCTGGAGAGTCCTCCACACTTGAAGGTGGTGGCCATCACTGGTGAACATAATGAGACCATCCTGCCTGTGTCAGGAAAGAAAGTAAGAACAGAAGCTAGAAGGATGCTGAGGAGGCCGGTTGGGCCTGTGATCTGCACAGTGACCAGGTAAGTCCCCAGCAAGCTCCACGGAGAGGACCACATTGATGTGGCAAGAGAGAAGCAGGAGTCCAGGCAAGACGCTGTTGCTCTGTGGGGCGTGACTGACTTTCCGAAGGGTGTGTGGGCGCCTCTCCTAGCCCTCCCCATGACAGGAGGAGGAAGGGTGCTGTGTCCCAGACACCAGCAGGAGCATCTTCTCACACACTGTGGCCATGAGCACATTAAGAGGCTGAGGCTACCTCCATGGCTGTTTTTCCATCTGGCTGCAACCGGGAGACAGCCTGATGCTCCCTCTGGGGAACAGGCCTAGCCGGCTTGCCGGCTTCTTTGTGGTTTTCTGTCCCAGGTGGTGGGGAGGTAAAACCAGCCAAGGCCACTCCTGCAGGCCCAGACTGCAAAGGACCTGCCAGGGAGGTTCTAGGCCTTTCTGGCAGGCTGGTCTCCTCTGTACTGGACTTCCTCACACCAGAGAAAAGTCTAAAGAGCTC